AGGTGATAAACTCATGCATAATAAACTTCATCTAGTGTACACTCACAGGCAAAATGTAAAAGTCACTCGTAGAACACAGAACATAAACATCTCCATGGCTCATTGACAGTCAGAAATAATGTGAGTGAGTCTATGACGCTAATGATCAGGGCCTGGCATTTAGTCCTTGGTACTGTGAAGTAGGGTGCCTGCTTCCATTGATGACAGACATTTGAAGAAGATAAAAAAAAAAAAAAAAAAAAAAAGAAAGCTTTTGGCTATCTTCTTCCTTGCGGATGACTTCCTGCCTGGGGCCCTCAGGGAGATGAGCACTAGAGAAGCAAGAGGACTTGTGAGGAACTGAGACAAACCGCCCTTGGGATCCAAGGCCTTAGTGCTTCATAAGCCCATTGGTCACGACTATAAACAAATATTAAAATACATTATAAACTCACTTCTGAGCTTGACAACCAGATGGAGTAAGGAAACTGCAAAGAGCAGAAGTGTGAAACAAACATTCAAAATAGAAACTATCTTAAACTAAACCTCAGTTGGCAATTAATGGTTGCCCTGGGGAGGGTGTCATTTTCCTCAGTGGTGTAGCTGCTGGTAAGGTGTTCTTGCTTCAGTAAGTAACCCCACACTCTTGCTTGGGCAAGACACTCCAGTTAAAATCAGTGGCTCATACAAAGAAGGCATGAGAGTAGGGAGGGGACCTCAGAATGGAAGAGTTTCAGAGGGAGAAGGAAGGGGACAAGAGACAGGAATACTGGGTGAAAATGATGGACAGGCATTAGAAAAATGTATGAAACTGTCAGATTATAAATTTTTTTGAGACAGGGTTTCTTCTGTGTAGCTCTGACTGTCCTGGAACTCACTCTGTAGACCAGGCTGGCCTTGAACTCACAAAGATCTGTCTGCCTCTGCAGTGAGTGCAGGAATTAAAGACATCTGTCATTATACCCAGCTCAATTTTCAAATGAACCTTATTGTAGACGAATTTCTAAACAGTCTTATTAAATAAGAAACACAGAGCCAAATACAAGAGAAATAGCCGAAGAGATCGGAGAAATAGTGAGTAGCCACCTTAGCTTACCACAACTCACCATAGCTTCCCAAGAGAGAGAGCTTCTTCCTGTCTAACCTGTGCCTTTATTGCCTTCCTGTTCTGCCTTCTCATTGGCTCTAAGCCCAGCCACATCACTTCCTCATCACTGCCTGTCTATACAGACCTCAGGCCTCTATGTTTGGTACTGGGATTAAAGGCATGTGTCACCATGATTGGCTGTGTCCTTGACTGCACAGAGACTCTGCCTGCCATGTGATTGGATTAAGGGCGTGTGCTACCACTGCTTGACTTCTAGTTATGGCTTACTATGACCTCTGATCTCCAGGCAAACATACAAATAAAATCACATTTCAGCACAAATTAAATATCACCACACCTTATGAAAAAAGTAATAATAAACTTACAACTAATTGAGAAGAGTAAGATGAATTTAGGAGAAAGTAATGACAGTGAGGAAACATAAAATAATAACAAGCACACTGTAGTAATTAGTGCATCCTTAGCACTTTACACTTTAAGAACAACCAAACCACCAATCCACACACAGATTCACCCTAGATGAAATCAGTTTTCTGGTGCAACAGGAAAGTTCTGTGGGATAATGCTTTTGTACACTGGTTTAATAAAACGCTGCCAGGCAGGAAGTAAAGGTGGGATAAGCAGACAAGGAGAATTCTGGAAAGAGGAAGGGTTGAGCCAGGAGATGTCAGCCTGCCGTCCAGGGAGCAGCATGTAATGGCACACAGATAAAGCCACTGAACATGTGGCGGCATATAGATGAGCAGAAATGGGCTGAGTTTAAGTGTAAGAGCTAGTCAGTAGTTAGCCTGAGCTAATGGCCAAGCAGTTTTAATTAATATAAGCTTCTGGGTGATTATTTTATAAGCAGGCCATGGAACTGCAAGACCCAGGCAGAACCAGAGAAACTTCTAGCTACACTTGGCATACCAATGTGGGGCTCTCAAATTTCCATAAGGCCTAAAAGAGTTTAAAAAGGGCTTCTAAACATACAGTAATGGAGCCAAAACCAGCTTTCTACTTTATATCTCATGCGGGTTGAGATATAGAGATGCCAAGGTACAGAGACACCGTGATGTGCAAACTTGAGCTACAGTATGGCAGATTCATAGCATATGGGCTTGAGTGCAGCATGGCCAAGTCCTGCCACCATACACAGTGACATCTGCAAGCTACACAGTGTGATGAATAGTGGATTTAGTCTTTGATAGTTTAAAAAAAAAAAAAAAGGTTTCTGGGCTATATGCTTGTGGATGGAATCATAGGACCACTGCATTCCAGAGCTGGCTATGAGCTTGGTTCCCAGAGCTGGTGGTAAAAGTAGTTCTGCCATGTTGGGAAGCTGAGGTGGGCAGAGCCAGCAGCCCAAACTGCTATTTCAGTCCTAGTAATGCTGCAGTTTAAAGCAATAGATTCACAATAAAACAGATTCAGATTAAATAAACCTCTAAATGGTTTACAATATGTGTAAAAATATACATAGGCTTGGAAGAGAGAGGAAAAGGAATATAGATAGCTATATAAAGACAGTTTTAAAAAATAAAGTCTTTAAAGAGACAGTAAAGGTAATACAAAAAATAAGCCACATAAAGATGGCTATTCCACAGAGAATCTGGATTGTGTTGTCTTTGGGACTTTTAACTGCAGAAAGACATTTGATTGTAAAAGCTTACAAAAAAAGTTAAATCAATATGTATATTTTAAAGATATCCTGATTTCAAAATCTATGTTTCAGGATACGTTGCTTTGGAAAAGAGGTTCTGCTTTTGTTTCCACAGAAGATGAGAACCTGTGGATTGCTTCCAGGCTGCTATGGTTTGACCAGTCAAGATCCCTGAAAGGTCTCCAATGACACCATGGCCCAGATCATCCAACATCCAGAATCAACTTCAAGGCAACTGGCTCAGAGAATACAGTCTCACAGACTAATAAGAATACAGTGCCCTCTATCAGTAGGAAGTAGCCTAGAAAACTATCCTCACATTCCCATAAAATGGAATATGGATGTTTGTTTTTGTTTAGGTTGTTTGTTACAAATTGTTATTGGTCATAGTCAATATCTTTCTAAAAGAAGAAAGGGGGATATGATATGGAAATATAGGATATGATATGATAGGTTAAAAGGATGGATTGTTGAACCTACTTTTAAAGAGCAGCTTGTTTAAAATGTTTTACATTGGTTTAGATTTTAGTTTATTGATACAAATTTAAAGTTAATTTTGTTATACTCTATGTATATTTCTACTCTTGTTTAAGGTATTATGTTTGTGTAGCTCATTTAAACTGTAGCGGATAATTAAGAAATACAGATTAATAATTAGTCTTCTATGATAGTCAAACTTAAAGTCATGTTAAGTTTTCTAGGTATACATAGATATATTTCAATTAGGTAGATAATCTTCAAACACTTCAAAGACCTACATAATATGGCATTTAAAATGTTTTAAAAACTTAGACTTTCTGGACAATGAGACTTGTCTGCTCCTGGCAGCACCAATTTATTTCAGAGAGAAAGATGGGTATTGAAGACACTCCATATGGAGTTTATCTTCTTCTTGGCAAAAATAGCCATTTGGGCAAGAAACTGTTCTTGCCTGGACTGCTGACAAAATGTTGTATCTACTGGACATGGAGGACACATAGGAAGGTGACAACTGGTCTTTGCAAGGTGTGATGGTCCTTCAGGTTCCTGCTTTGCGGAAGAAACTGTCAGACATTCTACAGGACACAGAGAAAAGTGACTGAGAGGTTCCAGGCCTATATGGCTGAAGATGGATGCCCCAAAGTTACAGAAGAACTTTGGGTGAAGGGGAGGTGCTGTGGGATGTTCTGTATGCTGTGAATGTGTTGCTCTGGTTGATAAATAAAATGCTAATTGGCCAGTAGCCAGGCAGGAAGTATAGGCAGGATAAGCAAACAACGAGAATTCTGGGAAGAGGAAGGCTGAGTCAGGAGACACCAGCCCACCATCCAGGGAGCAGTATGTCATGACACACAGGTAAAGCCATGGAAAAACGTGGCCACATATAGATTAACAGAAATGGGCTGAGTTTAAGTGTAAGAGCTAGGCAGTAGTTAGCCTGAGCTAATGGCCAAGCAGTTTTAATTAATATAGTCCTCTGTGTGTTTACTTGGGGGATGTGAGTGAGAAAGATTTGTCCCAACTTCGGGCAGGCTGAGGCACAGAAAAACTTTCAGCTACAGGAAAGAATATGAATCTAAGTAGTATTTTTTTTTTCAAAAAAAGAAATGAGAGTAATTTTCATGGTATGGAATAGGATGACAGAGCATAAAATGTGTGTAAAAATACACAGAAAAACAATAAGATTCATTGGCAATAAAAACTACACCGAGGGTACAAAATATAAAGATGGGTGAAGTCTAGCCACATCTGGAAAATTGCAAACAATAGCTGTATGGTTTGTGTAGTTCCTTCCATAAAAAATAATGGAATCTGGTTTATTGTTGTCCTTTAAATTTGGGTTAGACAATGTACCTCTTTCTGTCAGTGGGTCTCTAGCAAAACTAACGCAAGTCTCAAAAACACTTGAGGGCTAAGAACCTAGTTCAGTGGTAAAACACCTGCTCACCATGAGTGAGTAGTTGAGTTAGAGGCTCAGCACTGGAGGGAGGGGGAAGCACCTGAGTGCATTTGCTGCTGTAAACACTAAAGCCATCGGTACTTGTGATTTTTATATTAATGATGTAATCTAGAGTCATTTGGGAACAAAGATTCTCAGCTGAGAAATGCCTCCATCAGATTGGCCTGTAGGTAGATCATAGCACATTTTCTTAATGATTGATATGGGAGGACTCAGTCCACTGTGAGTGGTATCACTTGGGGGCAGGTGGTCCTGGGATGCATAAGAGAGCATGCTGGGTGAACCATGGGCAGCAAGCCAGTTAACGGTGTTCTCCACAACCTCTGCTTCAGTTCCTGCTTCCAGGTTCCTGCTTGGAGTTCCTGCCCTGACTTCCTTCCATGATGGACAATGATCTAGACATGTAAGCAAAACAAACCCTTTTCTTCCTGGGTCATGATGTCTTATCCCAGCAACAGAAACAATAACCAAGACAGAATTATACTAAAAACAAAACAACAAAATCCTGAGTGAGCCTTCCTTAACCCATTGGCCCATGATAAACACATTTAGTATGGTTCTGTGAGTTTAACTTTGGTTCCACATATACATGATATCATCCCAGGCCTGTATTGCCGTGTCAGGCTTATTTCACTTAACAAAGTCTAAATATTTAAAATTTTCTCCTTTTTGAGAGCCATATATATGGATGTAATGTACTCAAAGTTTGCTGAAAGTAGATCGGAGGTGGAAAGGATCTGAAGCAATAGGTAATAATAGGCTGCTGGGTTTGACTTGCATTTTGTAATGCATAACACATCCTCACAGCACATTGCATATCTTAACTATATCCATTTTAATTTTCAGTTTACTTCCATGAGACCTGGGAAAAACAACAACAGAACAAAAGCAGCAAATGCAGTATCAGGATAAAGAGTTTCTTAAAGTCTGAAAGTTATGAAAATCAAAACAAAACAAAACAGAAAAATCTAAAGTGAAGCCCACCATTCAAAACCTACCAACAAGATGTTTGTGTGGGGATATGTGTTTCACCAGACACTGAGGACATCAATAGGGCTCAGTGTCCCATGGTAACTGTGCAAGTTTGTAAGACTCTTTAGTTGGCCCTATTACAACTGTGTGAGTAAAAATATTATTTTTATAGTGCCTGCATGATAAAACACGAAGTGGCAAATATGAACTTTTGTTATTTAATGGAATAAACAAGGATATTTTCCCCCCCACAAGGACTTGTCTCCATTATCTGAATTTGGAAGGTTTAGAAATTTATTGATGTTTCTTACATTGTTTTACATTGTCATGCTTGCATAAAAGCACTCCAGATTCTTATGCTGATAGAAAGTGTTTTTCGCTGGGCGGTGGTGGCACACGCCTTTAATCCCAGCACTCAGAGGCAGAGGCAGGCAGATCTCTGTGAGTTCATGGCCAGCCTGGTCTACAGAGTGAGTTCCAGGACAGGCACCAAAACTACACAGAGAAACCCTGTCTTGAAAAACCAAAGAGAGAAAGAGAGAGAGAGAAAGAGAGAGAGAGAGAGAGAGAGAGAGAGAGAGAGAGAGAGAGAGAGAGAGAGAGAGAACTTTTCTTTCCTTGTTATGCATGTAATGTTTTAGACATTTATCCATGGGAAATTTTTCTTTTCTGTGTAATTTAGGGTATACCTCTTTTTCAAAAGGGGACTATTTGTCCTGGTAACTTGTTTTTATGGCTGGATTATTCAGAGTCACAGAAAGATCAGAAGCTAATTATTTTGGTAGTGAAAATTGTAAATAAAGCTTTCCCCATTCTCTCTTTTGGATGTTTGCTGAATTGTATAGACTTTTATTTACAAAAACCAAGTTATCATATTAGGAAATAAAATGGTAAGATACAGCCTAGGGTTCCCAATTAGTTACCTACCCAAGCTAAAGAACTTGTCATTTGGTTCTGCCTCTTCTAATGGGGAATAATTTTCCTCTCTAGCGCTGATGACCACTTTTACAGCTCTGCCTGATTGTTTTCCAATGTAGTCTCTACCTCTCAAAGAATCCCATTTTACTTTTATCCATCTTGAGCTGTTAACATGCTGTGTTGCTTATATTGGGGAAAACACACACCTTTTAGCAATGTAGACTATCAAATGTAAAACATTCCATTTACGGTTTCTCTTAGTCTACTGAAGACAGTAGGACTTCCCTTTTATACCTTGGTTGGTTTTAGTTTCTTCATTTTTTGCAGAGCCCATACGTGTGTGTGTGTGTGTGTGTGTGTGTGTGTGTGTGTGTATGTACACATGTGTGTACATGTGTGCACCTGTGCGGGTGTGCATGAGTACATATATGTATGTATGTGTGATATATTCACATGTGTGTCCTGCACTATAACTCCACCTATTCTCTTAAGACAAGCTATGTTACTAAACCTGGAGCTAGACCAGAAACCAACAGTCCCCTGTGATCTTTCCTGTCTTGTTCTCTCCACCCCCAACCCTGGAGTCACAGGCATGTTGGACTGCACCTGGCCTTCTAAGAAGATGCTGGGATTTAACCAAGGTTTCCATCTTTGAACAGCAAAACATTCTTGTCAGCTGAGCCATCCTCCCAGGCCCATAGCTATCTATAAAAACTATGTAAGATGAAAGAACGCTTACCTTTCCTCTTTTTCTATGAGCTCATCCCTTCCATCTTTCTGCATTTTCTTGTAGTTTGGTCCCAACACCACAGAATGAAGCTAGGCAAGACAGAGGTGTATATGGAGAGGAGTGGACATGTTCACTCCAGTATGATGTGAATGTTGAAGACACTCAGGACTGGTTGGAGATGCATGTCCAATGATGTCGTCAGGCCTCTAAGACTTTCAAATACTATCAACCGTGCTATTTTAGTGATAGGTTTGATTCAAACAAATATTTGAGACATGACTTTCATTCTCATGCCAGAGTTAAGCCTTATTCCCACTCCTTAGTATCTGTCAATGTTTTGACTTTGTTTTATGTACATAGTTATTATTTTTGAAAGTTATTCTGTGACTTTTTTCAATTTACCTAAAACCAATCTTTATGTATTAATGAATATTCTTTTAGAAAAATCATTGTGGTGGATGTAAAATACCCATTTCATTTAACAGTTTTTCTATTTTTAATCTTTTTGTGCTGCTGGAGACCCAACCCAGGGCTTCAGTGTATGTTACACAGGTGCTTTACTATGTACTGGGGCCTCAACAGAACTAAACATTAGGGCATATAAGATCTTTTCATATATAGGGAAGAGCTTCCTTACACATAACTCTCTTCATCCAGGTATTTTCTTAGGATAAAAACAAAAACAAAAACACCTCCTCTAAAAGTAGGAGTTTAAGACAAACAACATGCTTGGTTTTAGGATTCTCAGCCATTCCTCACTTGACATTCAATGACCACCCCATGACTGTTCTTGCCAATCTGTTCCCATAGCCTGGGATCCCTTTATTATTAGCAGCAAGAAGCATGACACTCCTGTTACATGTGACTGTTGTTGGGGTTAGTACTTTAACTTTGCCTACTGCTTCACATTCTGCTATTTGCATCTTGAGCAATACTGGGGTTCACACCTTGGTGTTGTCCTTTCTCTTGTCACCAGGGTTCATCTGAGTGATCAGAAAAACAAACAAACAAATAAACAAACAAACAAAACAGGAATTATGGTCTGCCCCTTTGGAGAGTCTGTTAGAAATGACATTGGAGTTTCTGATGTCCTCTCTCTCTCTCTTCCCTCATCTACTCTGTTGGAAGCCACTTATAGGCCATATTATAGCCATATTATTGGACAATCACTTATGGAGGTGGAATTGAAGTTTTCAGTTAACAGCTAGCAAGGTACTGAAGCCTTCCTAGTTTGGTGTGAGTGAGCTTCAGATGGATTCTTTTACCATTTAGCTTTTAAAGAACTGTAGCCTCTGCTGGCAGCTACAACCTCCTGAGACACTTTGGACTAAATGTATCCAACACATGGTCAGCTGGTAGAAGATTCCTAACTTACAGAAATTAAGAGTCAATGCATGTTTGTTCTCTTAAGCTGTTAAATTTTTGAGATAATTTTCCATTCAGCAATAGAAATCAAATACCCCCCCATACTGTTAAGGAGATTGAGTTTTTAATAAAAACATCCTCCACTGTGGAGTCCAGATGGCTCCACAGGTAAGTTCTATCAAACATTTAATTAAGAAATGAGATCAGACTTACAGAAACTCTTTCAGGAGAGGCGAACAGACAAGTCGCCATTAATTTTATGAGATCAGCATAATGCTATTACCCAAACTAGACAACATTATTACAAAGAAAAATTGCAAACCAATTACATCTCCTAATCATAGATAAAAACAATCTTAATAAAATATTGGCACATCAAATTGAGTAATATATTAAAACTGTGCCATATCCCAATCACATTACATTTAGAATGTAGCTGCAAGATACTGTTTTGTTTCATAGGGACAGGGTCTCACTATGCAGCCCATGATCTCTTGTCTCAGCCCTCAGAGTGATGGGATGACAGGCATGCACTAGGATGCTCAGAAAAACCATTTTAAGTATCAAAAGTCAATATATACAGAGGATATAGCTCAGGGAAAGAATGCTGGCCTAGCACATACAGGTTCATTCTCCAGCTTCACAATAAATACAAATAAATAAAAAACAATTCAGATTGCATTGCAACCAACTAAAGGGGGAAAGCCATAATGATTTCAAGAATTACAGAAATAGAATTAGACAAGGATGAGCCCCTGTATGTAACAAATAGATGGAATGCACGTGGGAGAAGATTACTGCTTAGTGTTGAGCTGTTAGAACTCCTATCACCGCCCCTTCTGATCTGCATTGTTGTAGGAAGATATTCTCACCAATTTAACAAGGAACAAAGACACAATTGGAGGGGAAATATTTGAAAACCTGGTTTCATGTTATATAATGGCATATCTAAGAGTTCCAAAGCCTACTATAGGTAAGTAACTTAATCCCTTGAGAATCGCAAGTCAGCATATAAAAGGCGACTCTCTACACTAGCAATGTACAGTTGAAAACAGAAACCTTACAAAAGAAATCATTTGCATTAGCATCCTGAACACATACAGTTCCTAGAAATGAATTCACAGAAGAACTTGTACACAGAAAACAGTCAAATGTGACTAAGGGGAGCTAATAGAAATGGACAAAATAAAAAAAATGGGCACCTTGTTCTCTGTGGGGAAACTCAATGAAAGACAGAAATTCTTCCTCATCAGGTCTATATAGCCAGTTCTATCTCAACAAAGATAACTACAAAGGATTTGGGGAAATTGATAGGTCAGTTTCTCAAAATTGACATGAGAAATTCAAAGAAGCATAGCAACCAAAATAACACTAGAAGGGGAAATTTTTACACTGCTTAATTTCAAGACATATAAAAGTTCAGTGATCCAAACAGTATGACATTGGTCAAAATATAGACAGATCAATGGCGTAGACAAAAAGAAATCCTGAAAATACACCCATTTTGGGTCAAATGATTTGTCACCAAATTACCAAATCAATTCTATTGTGAAGGAAAATTACAGCCAATATTGTGGGAACATTTGGGTATCCTTGGGGAAGAAATGTGAACCTGCCTACTGCTTCCTATGTGGTATTATCCACAGTGGATCTGAAGGCACAGGGACTCAAATGTAAAAGCCACACATACAAAGCTTTAGAACTCATGGTGCAGAACTTTTTCAATCTTGGGCAAATGAAAATTTCCTGCCTACAACACAAAAATCCACAAACCACAAGATGAAATAGGTAATCGTAATTAATCAAAAATTTCTGTTTTTCTAAAGACATCAGTGGGGAATGAATAGTCAAGTAACATGCTGGGGTAATATATTTGTAATATCCCTGTCAGATAAGAACTTATGTCCATCTTATATGAAGAAGACCTAAAATCCAGTCAAAAGCAAAACCCCAGTTTAAAATGGACAAAGAAAAATATATTCATTGTTAATGGTCTAATAAAGGTATTAAAATATTCACCACCAAGAGGCACCAGGAATACAAATTAAAGCCACAATGAGGATGTTCCAGCCCCAAGTAAGAGTTTTTTTTGTTTTTGTTTTTGTTTTTGTTTTTCGAGACAGGGTTTCTCTGTGTAGCTTTGCGCCTTTCCTGGATCTCGCTCTGTAGACCAGGCTGG